CCTCTCCCTCTCTCCCCGCCTCCTTTCCTCAGCGACCCGTCAGTAAGCCGACGTTACTCCAGTGACATCCCGAGCCGCCGCCCCTCCGCCCTGGATGAGGCTTACAGTAAATGTCTACAGCCCGACAGTCGCCCCGAGGGGGTACCACAGTCGCTGCTGCAGACACTCAACCGACCAGACGAAGAGCAGACGGTCAACGGCAACTATAGCAGCACCATCATCACAACAACCACCACCACCACCAGCAGCAGCAGCCCCTACCACCTAGCCCCCACCACCACCACCACCGCCCCCAGCACCCACGAGGAGACGATAGTTGTGATCACCCAGGGCTACCTCATGCCTCGCTCTCCCTGCGTGTCCTCAGACAACAACTCCCTCTTCCAGTTCCCGCCCAGAATCGTGGACGGCGTGCACTACCGCATCGACCGGTCCTCCAGCTACGGGGGCAACGCCACGGGAAGTTGCCACAGCCTGGACAAGGGAGACGAACAGACAGACCGCGTCGCCGTAGAATACTTGCCGGGGATTCCCGGAAAGACGCCATTCTCCTTCCGGCGGAAGTCGTGCGGAGATAAGGCGCACCACTCGTTCTTGGCGCTGAAGGCGGGGCTAAACAGCTGTGCGCTGCAGAACAAGCAGAACCTGACCACGACGGCAGAAGTCTCCACGCTCCTGGAGAACGAGGACGAAAACTGTCCGCCTGTAGGGCCCGACCATCCAGCCCCAACGCTGTCTCTAGACGTTCACAACCACGACGTCTCCACGAACACAACGAACGAAGAAATCCCTTCTGTTGTTGACTTGCTATCCGCAGCAGATCAAGACTCGCCTTTAGCAGAAACTGACAGCGCTGACTCCAGAAACTCCCCAGAAGAACGAGCTCCACAAAGTATCCCGTCGTCTGCAGCTATCGCCAGCGCTGGCCCAGTTTCTCACTCAAACTTGTCCCCTAAATATGATTCTCTAGAACTGCCTCTCGGCCATCTTGAGAGACCAAAGACGCTGGCCGCCCACTCATCTCCTCAGCGCGCTGTCAGCCACGAGACTCTCTCCCTTCCTTTCTCCCCGTCAAGAACACTCAGCTCTTTCCCCAAAATGTCCCGCGTAAATGAGACATTTTCTTTTTCCCTCTCGTCGGCTGGTCCCACAACAAAGCCCAGCTCACCGATCGTCAAAATATCTACTTCATCCTTGTCCCCAATGACCAATACAACAACAGCAACATCAGCAACACCAAACTCACCGACCATCAAACGATCGACTACATCTTTGTCACCGATGGACAATACAACATCAACCACGAGTAGGTCCCACTCGCTCACACCCCCCGTTGATCGCCCCTCTAGTCTGTTGTCCCCGCTGTTCCAACGATCCCCGAGTCTGACCCCGACATCTGGCGGTGGTCACTCCAACAACGCAGCGCCCTCTCTGGGCCACAGGTCCTTGTCTGTGCGCTCAGTCCCAGCAGCAACGGCAACAGCAACTGCAGCAACAACAGCAGCGTCATCAGTTCGAGGATCGTCTTCCTCCAACACCCTTCTCGTGCCATCACCCCTCCCCTCACGTCGCCCAGACAGCTCCGCAAGCTCCAAGTCCTCTCCCCTCCCTCCTCTCTCCCTCACCCCCCTCCCTCCTCTCTCCCCCCTCACCCCCAGACTACCCTGTGTATTGGATTAATAAATGTCTCATCCAGCCCTCCGCTGTCTTCTTTCTACTTGCCAGAGTTTCCTTTCTTTTTTCAAATGCATGTTTTTGTTTTAGTTTAGTTGCTTTTTTTACGTAGCAGTTTTGAAAAATTGAGGGCAAGCGAGGCAGGGGTAGGCCCAGAACAACATACTTAGGGAACCTAAACAAATGGGTAACAGGAAAAGATCAGGGAAACGTAGCTTTTTTGAGAGCATCCGAGCAAAGGAATGAATGGAGAACCATGATCGCCGATGTCTGTCGCAGTGATGATGATGATGATGATGATGATGATGATGATGATGATGATGATGATGATG